AATGGAGTTCGGGTGAAGCTGGCCGACCGTCACGCCGAAGTGGTTCAAGACCTCGACAATGAGGGGATGGAAAGGCAATCGCAGCCCCGCGGCGAGCTGCTCCCGGAATATCACGATCTCATCAGGACCGTGTTCCCAAGGAAAGCTACCCGAAGGTATAAAATAAGCGAACTCCCCGGGCAAGTTATAGTAGGTAATAAGGGATTAGAGCCCCTCAGGAGTCATGGTCGAAGGGCCAAACTTGTCTAACATCTGACCCCGACGAGAGGTGGACGCCAAACTACCCAAAGCACCTCAGCCTACGAGTTCGAACTCTTCCTCGAGCTCTACCTCCGGCTCGCTAGAGCTATCAGGGGATGCAACTCGGTTCATAGAACCTGCATTAGACCCACTAGAAGGACTATCAGAGCTATCCAATCTAGACATCGGGGAGTAAGATGGATTCCAGGAAAGTACTCACCCGGAAAAAGGCTGTAAACCACAGGAGCTCGGACGAGCAAAAGACCTTGAACGCGAACTGAAAAAAAAAAAACTGGATGCGAGCTAAAACTCGGACGCGAGCTCAAGAGAAATACAGAAGTGACAACAACTGGGGTCCCCCCCTGCTATTTATACTCACAGTGATCGAAAAGCGACGGGACGTGATTGGCGCACGTCTTTCTGAAATTGACAGAGCGCCGGCGAACGTCTTCCTGAAACTGACAGAGCGCCGGTGCACGTCTTTTCGAAACTAACGGAACGCCAACGCACGTCTCCTCACAATAAAAGCGGCAGCGGCACATTTTCAAATTTGCAAAGACGCCTGCTGTTTGAAATTTCGAAACAAAAGCACGCATCGTCGCATCTATCAGCATTCAGGCAGGTTGGCACATTTCCCGCCTTTTGAACGCTCGAAGAAACCCAAGGAACCCTGACAACGCACCTCGCGCCATTAGAACCAAGATTCAAAGTACAGGGCAAATCCACCTGACACCTTGCAAACTCCCCGCGCCAGGGCAAGACCTTTAGCTCGCGGAGTGGGGGGCAATTGATGAAGAAAGATTTGGCCCAACCTCGCAATCACCCCACGTGGCAAAAGCAAATAGTTCGGCACTTAAAACAGCGTACCCAGGGCGCAAGCACCAAAGGGAAGAAACCAGCAGTCCAAACTCCCTTCGAGGAGCCCGAACTCCCTACGAGGAGCCCGACCTCCCTACTAAGAGCTCGAACTCCCTACGAAGAGCCCGACCTCCCTACGAGGAGCCTGAACTCCCTACTAAGAGCTCGAACTCCCTATGAGGAGCCCGACCTCCCTACGAGGAGTCCGAACTCCCTACTAAGAGCTCGAACTCCCTACGAGGAGCCCGACCTCCCTACAAGGAGCCCGAACTCTCCCTTGGGCCCCGAACCACACAAGGCAGTGACCCGAACTGGCCCGCCTCATGGCAGTTCGGGACACTCCTCTATCCGAACTCAAGACTTCACCTCGTTCGCCATTCTAGCACTTCGCCTCCGATGACGCCGAACTGAACAAACGTACCATACCTGACATCGAGGAGATCCGTATCCAAGGGGCGGCGCATCTGACTGACTTGGGATCTGACGCTTGACAGCCGCACTTCAACGGTCACCTACCACCGCCACCTGCCACCGTCATCGCTAGTCGCAGAGACGGCTCCGACAAAAGGGAGCAGTGGCGGTTCTGACCAGCAGAGGGGATGACACCCGAACTGGCAAGAGACCAGAGGTAATCATACCCGACCTGATAGAAGCTTAGGAGTGAGTGCACGAGGTGGCTATAAAAGTCCCCCTACCCCCAAGAACAAGGTATGCAAACTTTGCGCTATCTGATTTTATCTTGCCTTTGAAGGATTCTAACTTGAGCTTTGGAGCCTCCACACCGGATTCCCCCCGGAGCTTCCTCATCTTCTCCGTTTCAGGTTCCCCGCAATTCCATTCAGGTCGTTGACAACTAAGACCGGCCAAATTGATCACTTGTTATGTCAAAATAAACAAAGCAAAGACAAAAGAAAAATGACAGGATTAACTCACCTAACGATGACATGAGCTTCACCGAACCCTAGCAATTATTTTGGTCATGGGCTGTGTCACCTGATCCATCCTTCTGTCAATCTACATGCTTTACCCTCTCTCTCTCTGCCAGAGTTAGAGTTAGTAGGATTTCAAATTCACTTGATATAATTTATTGAATTGGGAGGAACCTCGTGTCAATTTCTCATAACTTTTGATTATACAATGTTTTAATTCACCATTTATTTATTTGTATGTAGCAAATTAAATTACCCAAAACTTACCTAATTAACCACCGACTGAAAATATTAAATGTTAACAGGCAGAGAGAGTCCATCACATTGCGCAGCTCATCTGTGTTTTGTCATGAGTCACGACCCCCTTTTAGGCTATTTTACACGAAAGAAGATTGTGTGGAGATTGTATTATTGATCGAAACCTTTTAGCTGTACGTACTATCATTTGCCAACCCCCATTGAACTGGAGGTTTAAAACATTGGAAGCAGATTTTTCTTCCGTTTGTTTGTAATACAAACGTTAATCGAGGTATTTATTTATTGTGGTTCGTGTTTATAAGTATTTGTTATTGTTGTATTTACTTTTTGGATATAATTTTATATTCTTTTGATAATTAATTTTTTAATTAAAATTAAAACATTAAAACATTTAATGGAACATTAATATGGATTTCAAATAAATAAGATGAGTGTAAAAACAGTTATTTGAATTATATTTATATTCATAAATTGAAAATAAAAACAAATATATAATGTACATATTTATATTTGCATTGCTAACAAACACAGCCTTAAGACAGAAGCAGCATATTCTGAACTCTTTGACGAAATACTCCCCACTTACTGATACGTAAGACATTGGGGTTGAGCCCATGTGACTCAAATATTTTTTTTTCTTTTACTTTTGTCTTGATGTGACTTGACATAACAGTTATTTTGTTTGTAAATTAATGTAGTTTATCAACATAATCATCCCAATTCCGTCTAAAATATGAAGGATAGACTTGACTCAACAAGACCCACATGGTATATCCCTGGTGTTGCCGGTTTGTTGATCAACTAACCGCCCGAAATCTAAGGTGGCCATCCCTTGACTATGCATGGTTAATAAAATTCTAACGGTGAACCTTCATACTATCATACTACTTTGCTGTAGGGCCAAGGCGGGTTATTTTTTCCCTTATCTTTTATAACTTTCTTTTCTATAATGGTTAATATCAAATTTGAGTCAAGAGACCTGAAGTGGTCAATGAGATTTTGATTGCTATTGATTAAAAGTCCTTTTTTTAGATTGATGTAGGATTAGAAATAGTTTATTTTTTTAAGTTATCATTTACTCAGGTAAGTGATGTCCATCTCATATGTGAATAAATAACTTTTTCATCTGGGAGAAAATTGTTAATACTTAAATGGAACAAAAATATTCCTTTATAATAATGTATTTTTATGAGTAAAATGATCATTGCATTATTTACATGTAAAATAAAAAAAAATATGGGTAAATTAAATACATTTACCCGAATAACTCTTTCCTAAAAAACACTTACCTAGATAAATACATATATCCGAATAAATAACTTATCAAAAAATAAATGGGACCTTAAAATTTACACTCGTTTTAATATTTCTTCAAATTCTTTTTTTTTTCACCCGATTGAAAGCAGAAGGTGGTGAGGGGTTTCATCTCTGTTGGTACAGTGTCCCTAAACCGAAAACAACATAGAAAACCAGGATTAATGTAACCGACCCCATATAATTGGGGAAAACCAACTACTCAAAAGACCAGGGCGAAAGTCCCCAAGTAAAGTTGTAAACTGAGATGAGCCAGCTAGAATCGATGGGGAGGGTTTTTTCAAACCACAGCATACAGAATCCAATACTTGTCAAAGTTTGTGTTCCCTCCGAGCATCCCCTTTGGTTAACAAAAATGGTAGTAGAACGTACTTCGCTTGAATTAGGGAAGATGAAGGAAAGGCGAAGAGTGAAGGATAAGGATAAGGACATAAGTATATTGTTGGAGTGGGTACAAACACTTATTTCACATTTGTTTATTATTTTCCCTCGTTTCTCTTGTCTTCAAGCTAGACTCCAGAGTGATGCACAGATACAAATCATAAATGCCTGACCTAGATGGATTTGGATCACTCGCCCAAAATGCAGACAATGCAGGCTTGGGATTCTTTTGCCTTCTCACCCAATCTTGCTCCAGGCAGATGGATCATGGACCAATCCAGCAAGTGAACTTTGTTTCAGATGCCAAGGGCTCAACAGACCATGCAGATAGCCGGAACAGAGTTGAAGTCAAAATGGACAACATACAGAATCTCACATCTCATTTGATCATATCGAGGTTCTTTCTAGCTGTTTTGCTTATGTAAATATATCAAGTATAACCCAAGAAATCAAAATCAGAGCCCATGGGCAAAGCAAACTATATATTGCCAGAACCCAGAATGAATGGTGGAACAGTAATGGGCCTCTCTCTCTCTCTCTTGGGGATAGATTGTCATCTTTCTATGGGGCTTTCAGCCATAATTATCAGGCACCAGGAGGCAAAAGTATAGAAAAGGAAAAAGGAAAAAGAAAAGAAAAGTCAGTGAGGTGCGTGCATGAACATACTGATACATCTTGAGCTCACGTCCATCATTATTCAAATAAAAACAAAAGACGACACAGTATTAAAACATCAATCACTTGTCTCCTACCCAAACTAAGCCTAGCTAATCACATTCTTAAATGTATATAGCATTTAATATGGATTTAATTATACTAAAGTTCTACAGTAAAAGCATGTTGAGTATGGACGTTTCACCATTTTTCCCCCTTTGCTTGCAGAGCAATTCATAGTTTCATACAATTGAAGGCCTATAAATCTCCCAACACTCGTTGCTTTGGAAATGTTCCATCCAGTGCAGAGGAGCTGAGAAACTGGGAATAAGTTATTCCAAACTAGCAACCATGCTAAACATAGGCTGTGTTGGAATCATCTTGGCCATCTTTTGTTTGGTGGGTTCGGCTCAAGCTGATCTGAAAATTGGTTTTTATGATCAGAGCTGCCCAAAAGCTGAGAAGATTGTATCAGACTTTGTCAATAAGCATATCCATAATGCTCCATCTCTGGCAGCCACTATTATAAGAATGCACTTCCATGACTGCTTTGTGAGGGTTAGTGTTAATCGTTTCAATCTGTCTAGGTTTTTTCCTTGTGATGGTTTTTCCTGTTTAAGTAGGAGTTTTGGTTTTCCTCTGTTTCTCTCTGTTTAGCTGTCTGTGTTTCATACTGAACATCTGCAGTTTTATGGGTATCCTGGTTTTATTAACATAGGAATGTCCTTATTCTATACATTCAGGGTTGTGATGCATCGATACTTATCAATTCCACTTCGAGCAACCAAGCTGAAAAGGCCGCTGTGCCAAATCAGACGCTCCGAGGCTTTGGCTTCATTGACAGTGTAAAAAGCTTGCTGGAAGCTGAGTGCCCTGGTGTTGTATCCTGTGCTGATGTTATTGCTTTGGTTGCAAGAGACTCAATTGTGGCAACAGTAAGAAATAATCCAACAATTTGTTTCCATTCAATCGAGAGAAACTTACTTTAATTTACTATTTCTATGTTATTTCTAGTACCCGTTTGCATCCCAATTTTGATTTTTTCTTGCTTATTCTGTAACAAACAGGGAGGACCCTCTTGGAAAGTTCCAACAGGAAGAAGAGATGGTGTTATCTCAAATGCTTCAGAGGCTCAATCCCAAATTCCTGCTCCAACTAGCAACTTCACCACACTCCAAACCTTATTTGCTAACAAGGGACTCGATTTGAAAGATCTTGTTCTGCTTTCTGGTATGCTTGACAGAGTTGGTGCTCTGTGTACATAATAGTTCTTTTTTGGGAGGAAATTGTTCCACTGATGAATGATTCTTCTCATTTTGATCATTTCAGGGGCACACACAATTGGTATTGCTCACTGTCCTTCTTTCTCCAACCGCCTCTACAATTTCACAGGGGTGGGTGATCAAGATCCAGCTCTGGATAGTGAGTACGCTGCAAATCTAAAGGCAAAGAAATGCAAGACATCTACTGATAATACTACCATCGTTGAAATGGATCCAGGGAGTTTCAGAACCTTTGATCTCAGCTATTACAGACTTCTACTCAAGAGACGAGGTCTATTTCAATCCGATTCTGCACTGACTACAAACTCCACTACATTATCTTTCATCAACCAACTTGTTCAGGGAACACTTGAGAACTTCTACACAGAATTCGCCAAGTCCATGGAGAAGATGGGTCAGGTTGATGTTAAGACAGGATCTTCGGGTGAGATAAGGAAGCAGTGTTGGAAGGTGAATAGCTAGGCTCTGGTTTTGCTTCAGTCACATTCAGTGTCCTTGTGTTTTGTTATGATGAACATGTCAAAATAATTGTTACGTTCCTTTATTTTGCTTATGTGAATGTGGTGGTCTTCAAGTGATTATGTTCTTGACCAGTGTAGAATTGAATTTTCTGGGGAAAAATGGAGTTTCCATACTTCCATTTTCATATTAATATAATTGAAGAATAAAACACCTCTGTAAGAGCTATCATATTTGAATTTACAGTTTCCACTTTCCATCCATACTTATGCAGTTGAATCTAGCCTGACCTTGTTGCGCGGTCAAAAACCTGCATTTCTTTAACAACTGGTCGTTTTTTGGGATTTTGAGTGGGGGAAGTTGGTTAATGGGGTTTGGTTCCTGTTGATCAAGATATTCATGTATTTTTTTTTTCAATTTATATAGGGTCTATGGAAAATTTATTTTTTCATTTTCCAGCACTTGAATGGAACAACATAGCCCCTTTTAATAATGACTTTTTATTATTAAAACGGACATTATCTTATGAGAACGGATCACCTACCAACTAAATACATTCCAACACTCTACCAATATCATTCAACACCACTCATACCATGTATGACAGGTCCCTTTTTATGGTGGGACCCAGAATGTGTGGTGTAGGATCAAGTTGGTAGAAGGTTGGAATGTGTTTTGTTGGAAGGAAACACTTACCCAGTAATTACATATAATATACCTGGGTAAGTAATTTCCCAAAAAGTGAACAGAGCCATAATTTGATAATTGCCTTGTTGAATTTCCTACCGAAAATATTGGTCTTGCCCATGTAGTTTGATGGCCATTTTCCACGAATTCAGATCTCCTACCCATATGACACTGCAGTTATACATTAAGAACATCTCCCCGCGAATGATAATATACAAACTCGATAGATGTTCTCAATGTACAGCTCTACTGAGGCATGGCCAAGTGTGAATAGAGTTCTTGTGAGTAGGAGATCCAAACTCATTTGCAACTGACATCAGTAAAGGGAAACCAACCCATGATCCTATTGAAAAAGTTCTGGTCTGTGACGACGGTAGTAGCTGCCCAGTTTCTTGACTTGTGTAAATTAAAGATCTGATTAACAGGTCTCGTCTGGGACATATCTTCATTCCTGAGGCTATCAAGAAATAAGAATACCGGAGGAATACCAATCTGGGTGGGCGAGCCCGATGCCTTTAAAGTGAATTACAAAAAGCCGGCCCAGCAATCCAGTAGCAGAATTCGATACCATGACAAGTAGAGAATACCTTTCTTTGGGAGGAAAAACATAAATAAATAAATATTAAAGAAAACCAATAACTTTTCTTTTGTAAAATGATTATAAAGTAAAGTCATTAATTACACCACCCAATCCGGCACTTCCTTTAGTTCAAAAAAACGAGCCTTTTCACGCAGTCACGCTGGATGAAAGAGCCACGTCATCCACGTTCAAAGGAATCTTAAAACTTTTTTTTTATAAAAAGAGGCAATTTTTAGAGTGCAAGTAGGGTACATTTACTAATATTTGCTATACGTAAAATCAAAATTTAAAACAATCTATATCTATACTATATATTATTACTATATAATTTTAATAATATAAATTCATATATTTAAAACCGACTAAAAAACAAAATCATTATTGATACAATTGGTGGCTACGCAATTTAACCATTGAATAAATTTGGTCAACCTATGAAGTCACAGTTAAATAATAAAAATTTTAAAATAAAAGCAAATATAGAAATTTACAAAAAAATTTAGAAAAAAAAATATGCACATTTATTATACTTTTATTAATCAAATTAAATATAAGTGTAATAAACAAGAATTATTTTTATCAATAATGAAAATGAAATACATAATTTATAGCTGACCAAAAATGAAATATAAAAATTAATAATAAATAATTCAATTTTGGGTTAAATGTGTTAACCTTTAATGTCATAAATAAATAATAAAAATTAATAAACTATAAAAATACATAAATTTTGCAAAAACAGCATGTAAGCACATATATAATATCATGTACTTATCATATTAAACAAAAAATAAGTGCGACATATCAGAATTAGTTTTACACACAAAAATAAAAAAAAAAAATTATAGAAATAATTGAACACATCTATAATTCTATATTTGCACTACTATTAAAAGAATAAATAAGATTGTGGAACTTTATTTGAACTAAAATCAAGGTTTTAAAAATCGACCTAGAAATTGAACTGCTTTGGCTTCTGGTATCTGGGTCAGCAATTCAACCATCTAGTTTGAGTGGGTCAAACTGGTAAGATATAAAATATAATGTAGTTTCTTATTTTGACCGTTAGATTAGGATTAGGTTAAAGTCCACCACATATATACATTATTGTGAGAGGGGAGTGTGAGACTTTGAGGAGGCAACTAGTTAAAGTTAAGAAGTGACAAAAAAGAGAGAAAAGAAGAATCATATAAATAAGATCGATGTATAATCTCTCCCAAATCCCAAATCGCTTGCTTCATTGGTGCATCTTAGCTTTTAATACAAGATTGATGTATAATCTCTCATCTCTTGCATCAATTTTTCGATTTCTTCACTAAAGTTGCAATTTGTTTGTTGTTACAACTTACAAAGAATCATATAAATAAGAAAACTCAAAATCAAAATGGAAAAACTAAAACCCTAACTAATTTTGGCCATTAGGAATAATCGAACAAGATTATGACATATGAAAGTTTCTTTTTTCAATTTTTATTTTCTAATTTCTATTTTAAAATAAATAAAAAATTTGGAATTAGTTTGAAAGCAACTCAAAAACCGTTAACTGAGTTGAACATTTTAACAGTTAAACCATCCAAGTTAGCGGTTCTCTAACCATTTCAACGTTTTTGTGTAAAATAACAGTTTGGGCCAAAATGAAACCAGTGACCTGATTGGTTCTTGGCAAACAGTTCGACTATCTAGTTAGTTCCAATTTTTAGAACATTGACTAAAATACTCATTTTTTAGTTTAATCCCTATTTAATTGTAAGGTCTAAATTGTAAATTGAACTACTACTTTTCACTTCATTCAATTCCCTCTATTTAAATCTTACATTTTTTTTTGATAAATGAACAAAAGAAAAAGATACACTAAAAATATAAAACACTATAAAAAAGAAAAATCTAACTAAGCAGAATGGTCTCTGTCAATGATACTTGAAACTTTGCGATTAATCTGATTATCACATATTTGGATAAGATGTTTATGTAATCATATTTGGATTTTGCAATCTGCATCTGATTAAAATACCCCAATTTTTTAATTTGATTACTATCTCATTGTAAGGAGAGTAATGTAATTTGAGTAACCACTTTTCTCCTAATTCAAATCCCTCTAATTAACATTCATTATACTTTATTCTTGACTAGAATACCCCTATTTCTGAATTTAGCCTCTCTCTAATTGTGAGGGCACAAAATATAATTTGAACTACTACATTTATCCTCATTCAATTCCCTAAGTCTTATAGTTAGGGTATTAACTCCTATTCTTTCACGTAATCTTATATTAATTGATCACAATAAAAACTGTAGTAAAAAATAATTATTTTTATTTATGATAGAAATAAAAAACAAATTTATAACCAACCTAAAAATGGAGTTGTTTTCATGTTTGGTGGAGATTCAACAATTCAACCTTTTTGGTCAAATGTTAAACCCTCAATGTCATAATTAAGTAATAATAAAAATTAAAAAATATATATAAAAAACACAAAAGTATAAAAATACAAAAAAAAAATGTAAAAGCATTTGGGCACATCCCTAGTATTGTATATTTCATCATATTAAACAAAAATAGGTTAATAAGTAAAAATAAATTTTATACACAAATAAATATACAAAATTGTGAAAAATTTTGGAAACATATTACTTACTATCATCTGTAAAGCACAACAAACGAGCAGGCCCACACAAGAAAAAGAAAAATAACAATATTTGAATAAAAATATGCAAACACACTATAACTAGAAAACAACTATGGATACTATTTGCTCAAAACAATACTAACACTTTTTAAACTACACAACTTTACGCACTAACATTCATCATATATTACTTATTCTAAAATTATACATTTGCATTCATAAGAGTGAGCCTTATTTATACTTGAGTTTAACCACTTATAAGAGGCATTTAAACATAATATGTGATGTTCAATGGACCATGTGGGCCCTTATAAGTCCAAATGTTAAGTCAGTTATTAGATAATGATTTGGGAAGTCGGTTTAATTGGGAGAAGTCAATGATGACTTCTATCATCATCATCATAAAAAATTGTCACGTATACACTTATTAGTCATATCAAAGATGACACATAATCTACTTACTTTTCATTGACTTGCATTTCAAAAGATCTTCTTATCATTAGAACTTTAATAACATTAAAGATGTTAATCAGTTTTGACGTGTTGTTTTATCGCTAATTGAGATTCTTTGTTGCAAGATGCACTTGATGCACCATAGGTTTTCCCTAATTACAATAATGCAATTGACTTTTTTGTTTTTTTTTTTTTTTGTTGTCTCTGTACCTTTGCAATATGATCAATAGGGATGGCAATTTTTCCCATTCCAGACCCGATGGGGTTGGGGATGGGGATTGCTTTGACAGGGCGGGATAGGGACCTCAATCCCCATCCCCGACCCCGACCCTGATTATATATATTAAGTATTATTTATATAAAATATATATTATTATATATATATATATATATATATTTATGTAATATTATTTATATATATAAATATTTAAAACATTATTTATATTTTAAAATTTTTATTTATTTTAAGTAAATTCATTTTTTTAAATACTATTATCTAAATATTTTTGGGGATTTGAGTCCCCACGAGGAACCCATCCCCGTCGAGGATCGGGGACGGAGGACAACTTCTATCCCCGATAGGGATCGGGAATGGGGATGGGGATTAATTTTAGAATCGGGGTCGAGGACGGAAAAAATGATCCCCATCCCAAACCCGCCCTATTGCCATTCCTAATGATCTGTTGATTGGGTATCACTTTTTAAGGGCCATTTCCTAGAACACCCCCTATAGTTTCATAGACATACTTAAACTTACCCTATAGTTTGCATTTTACTAAAACACCCCTTATAATTTGCAATGTATTTACTTAATCGACCTTTCATTAAAAACTATTTGTTTTGTCAATTGGACATAATTACCTAAACTAAGTGAAAAATGTTCAAGGGCATGGACCCATGGTTGTTTATTCCAA